TCTGTAGCTACCGTAGTGCTGGTGGTCGTAAATATGCAAAGCCTATTAGAGCCATACTGAGGAGGATGTGCATCTTTATTGGCCTTTTATGGAGCAATAGAACAGTTTCAAGGGAGTAGATGTTACTGTGGGGAAATCTTGCTTAACTCGGCAGGCAATGTGTCGGTGTGAGTATGAAGGAGTGTGTGTCTGACCAGACTCATGCCTTCACGTTCAGCTCTGTCTCTCCATGGTTCAAAAGTCAGATTAGGTGCGTATGGTGCTGTGCTGGTCCAGGTTCAGATAGAGGACAGCCGTAGTATTGAAGCAGCTGGAGCTTCTCCCAGGGGGCGAGTTTTGGTGCTCTGACAAACCACAGGCCTCCCTCCTTTGGCTGATAGCCAGGTCCACTCTACCTGCTCTCCAAATAAGCTCGTCTGAGCTGTGTGACTCAGGGTGACTCAGGGTTCCTCGTACACCACGGATGACTGTTTTTTCCACAGTGGAAAATGTTAGATTCACTATAGGCTACTAAGGATGCAGTATGCCCACATATTGTAGTACTGACAACCACGTTCATCAAGTTTGGGCTCCCTGTGCTTTCAGAGTGAGACCCAAAAATAGGTTAGGTTAATATTATTGAAGCAGACATAGCAGTCAATCCAAACATAATGTTTACATTTGGGATATATAAGGTGGTGCAATAGCTGTAATTAAAAAAGAAAAATGATTGCCTCAAAGTGCAATGTTTGGATGGAGGAATAGGGTAAAATGTTAAAAGATGAAAGCTGCAATACAATAAATAAATATTTCTGTGTTTATCCCAGCAGGCACAAGAAAAGATCAGAACCACCATCTCGGCGGCCCCCTGCCCGCCCCAGCGATGTCCACTGCATGGTACATCCCTCCCAGCATGGTCATGGAGGACATGGAGGCACCCCAGAGATGGGTTCCCCAGTTTTAGGCCACTTCAGCCCACGGGACATGCTGCGGAGTCGCAACCACATGGACAGTCCTGAACGACGACGCCGCACTGGCCATGGCAGCCTGACCAACATCAGCCGCCACGAGTCGCTGAAGAAGATGGAGAGCCCCCCTATCCGCCGCTCTACCTCTTCGGGCCAGTACACGGGCTTTACTGATGCCCACCACCACCATGGCGGCAAGCCCCTGGATCCGGAGACCATCGCACAGGTCAGCGCGGGACGAGCGGCGACCCGACCGCAGCTCCCTCCACCATCAAAGCCCTGCCCCGCCCTGTAAAAACATAGTCAGTCCCTGTCTTCTGCTTCCTCTGGCTGCAACTGTGTCTGTGTGCTAAATACACGCAAAAAAGACTAGCTTCACAGGCAGCAGACAGCAGGGAGCATAGCTCGAGACTGGGACTCCTCGCAGTATATTTACTGTAGTCTTGCTTGTGAGCATACAAAAAACTCTAAAATACGAAAAGCTATTACAAAATATATCAATGCCGGTAAAACTGGTAATAATTTGTGTTAAAGCAGACATGTGTTTGCGTCACTGCGGATTGGAAGGTGATAGCTCTAATCTGACAGTCACATGAATAGTAAAGCCACAAATGACATTTGTATAGAGCCTCAGTTAGAAAGCAGAGGTCACAGAGAGCACGTTAAACTGTGCTGTGCTGTCTGTCTGCCTACTGGGAGCATGCTCAGATGAACATCTTGTCATCTCTGCATCTCCTCCGCTATCCGAAGTCATTAGCATGCAGAGGGAGAGGTGCTGGTACAAAGCAATACTACTTCTAACTCTCTGCATGTATAATGCATGCTTGGTGTTTTCTTGAAAAACTGTCACTGTGGTCCTCTGTTAACATCTCTTTTTATGTTTCCTACCATACCGTAGTCTTACCTTCTTCCTTCTCTCACGTCTTTGCTGCTCCTATCTTGTCTTATTTTTTTTCTTCACCTTCTATTTTAGTTCTCTGTCATTTTTAACTCCAACCTTCCTGCCTCTCAGTCATCTCTCTCACCAGTGTTATTATCATCCTTCCACATCCCCCCCTCCTCTCTCACACTCTCTCTCTGTCTCCTGCAGGACATAGAGGAAACTATGAACACTGCTCTGAATGAGTTGCGCGAGCTGGAGCGGCAGAGCTCAGCTAAGCACGCCCCTGACGTGGTGCTGGACACCCTGGAGCAGCGGCAGACCTCCGGCAGCAGCGGTGGCGGGGGTCCCACACCGGCCAGCTCCAGCGAGTCCCTAAGCCCCATCCACGGCGTCATGCTGAGGTCCACCGCCAACACTGAGCCACCCATCCGCCGCAGCACCAGCTCCTCCAGCGATACCATGAGCACCTTCAAGCCTGTGGTGGCGCCCCGCATGGGAGTGCAGCTCAAACCCCCGGCCTTGAGGCCCAAGCCCATGGTCCTGCCCAAATCCAGCCAGGCTTCACAGCCTCCAGCTGCTCAGGACCCTCTGGATAAGTCCTGCACCATGTAACCTCTGGGACAGGAATCAGAGATGTAAAACAAAAACTCTCAATCAACTTCCGGGGAGCGGCTGCAAAATGCCTAGATTTCATAGACATACAACAAATAATATCTAAGAGTGTGTAAAATACATAGACCTGGACAATAAAAGATGTTTCCTTGTGGTTTTGAAGCTGCGAAAGAGATCATAAAGAGACTGTAGGAGTTACAATGTACACAGATCTGTCAGTCGGACAAATCTTCTGTTAAAAAAGAAAAACCTGTACACAGTTATGTGTTAATATGCTTAGGTTAATGTTATCTAACAAATTTCTTTTTTTTTTTAACTCAAACAACAAATCACAAAGGCTTCCTTCGAGGTTTTAGAATATGTTCACTAGTTAGTTTAGTTTACAGACATTCAGAAACTGTGTATCTTGAACAAAACACGCTGCATGTACAGTAGCTCCTCTGTTTACCACTGAACCTGAACCTGGAGCTTGATGGGAACTGTAGTGACCAGAGTGGCATTCTCACACATATAACTAGATTATGTAACTATTTTGCTCTTACCTAGGAGGGCCCTTGAAGGTTTTGCGAACAGGTTCAAAGGCCTTATTGACTTTCGATTTCCAATGTTAAATATTATAAAGGTGCTGTGACTACCTGGACTGAAATGGTTTGAAGGTTGGATTGATTACGGGCCTGAAGAGCCCTTAATAACTAATGGTACTTTGTTAATAGACGATAGGACTGATAGCAGTATGCTTTTTTTTTTTTACTAGCGTGTAAACTCTGCAACTTTCTTTGGCAAGGCATACCATCTGTTGCATCTCAGAAATGTATGAAGATCACCTCTGTGCTGGATCCACATAAATTTATTTGAACATATTTCCATATTGCCTGGAATTACAGACTATTGGATAAAACCACTATTTCATTATGAACTTTGTTTGAACATTTTGATGCATTGTTGAATTCTTGCATCAATAACTCATGATGCAGGGATAAAATATGCCTAATAACTTATGCCTTGGCATCTGTGTAATCTATGGGGAGCAGTGTGAAAAATCCTGATGATAAATCATCTCCTACCTGCAGTATATACAACACATATGCTATTAAATGGTGTGGAACACATGCCATAGCTTCTTTTATGCCTTGCTTGGCTTTATTTACCCAAAGACATGACTGCAAGTTAAAGCATGGATGTTGACCCTCCATATATGATGTAGGCATTCTTCACATTGACTGATGTACAGACTCATGGCAGCGCCCTGTGGGAGTGCTGCCCGTAGCCATGGACCTAATGACTGTTAGTGTAAAAGCCTCCTAATGTGTTCACCCTGCTTCCTATGCTTCTCTTTGAAAACAGCAGCTTGCTTTGTGTCCCTCTAGTCGCTTTTATGTTCAGGTGAGAATGTCAGTAATGTGGGGGGGGGGGTTGTATTGTCTCTGACACTGAGACTTTCTCTGTGGATGGTCTACTTTGGTGGATGATGACCCCTCTAAATGCCGGACGTGTGATAGAAAACACATGGAATAGGAGGAAGTCTCGCACGATGATGAACAGCAGTGTCAGTATGTGTCCAGGTCGAGTAATAATTTCAAATGCAATAGCCCCATACTGTGTGACTTCACCCCTGTATGTCTTTTCCGAAATAACCTCTGTACTGTAGAAATAACAGAAGTGGGTGCATGTCCTGGGAATGTTTGGCTAGCGTAATAACACACAGGAAAGACTTGGTTTGCAATGAATAAGCAATGCTCTCTAACAGCAGGTTTACACTATCTTTGACTTGACAGATATTGTGTGTATAATAATCAAAAGATAATTGATTTTCTGAATTACTAACTTGCATTATTTTTGTAATCATTTTTGTTATGTTTGTTGCATTTCTGGGTAGAAATGACTTAGAACAAATGATGTAGAATAAATATCCAGATATACAGTATGAAGCCAGTTGTAAAAAAAAAATAAATAAAAGTGTGCTTTTGTCACTATGTAATATCATCAACAGTAGGACTCAGTTATGCCGTCTGTAGGCTTTAAGCTACTCTGTGGTGTTATGTACATCTGTAGTATGTACTTGTGAAAGTGCCTTTGAAAATGTTTTAGAGGAACTTCAGACATTCTGTACTGTTGCATTTTCATGTCAGATGCTGTTTTGCAGTGCAGGAAGAAGACACATGAATAAGTAATGATGCCATTTTCCAAACAGTTATATGACAGAATTAATAATAAATAAACAGCTTACCCATTGTGACATTGCACTTTTATGTATATAACTGTATATATGGCATGTAACATCATAACGTTTAGAGTTCTTTGAGGGCTTATACCTCCAAGGATTTCTTTCTAATAAAGGAAATAGTTTGTCGAGTCTGAGGTAGATTTTTTTTTTCCCCTTACGTTTTATACGCAGTCACTTTGTGTTTAATTATGATCAGTGGTGGAAGAAGTATTCAGATCATTCTACTTAGGTAAAAGTAGAAATAACACAATGTAAAAGATTTCATAATGACTACGCCAATAGAGCTTGATGGAGAAAGTTTATACATTTACAGAACATCTACTGTAGGTTTTTATTCTTTATAATGATACATGGTAAAATTCTTCCAAGGACACAGTGAGTATGAGTTAAAAAAAAACCCAGAAGACATGATGAAGATTCAAGCTTAAATCTTTCTTTCCTACATTTCTCAACGTGTTCTTTGCACCACGCCTTAGTGTCGAAGAATCCAGCAGGCTTTTTCTGATGTTTTCTCTATGTTGTGTTCTATGTATGGGAGCTTTACTGGGATTTGGTGTCCCCCAGATCTATCTCTTGCCTCAGCAATGTATGCGGGAGTAAGAGTGGGTCCCTGTGTACTCCAGGCTTTAGCGTGGGTCTTCAAGGCCATCTGGTGAAAACAGAGAAGAGAAGGCTCATTGTTATGGATACTGTGACACAACAGTTTTTCTTCAGCTTGGGCCGAGGCTTGATGTGGTCCGATAAAAGTGGAGCAAATATTCAGTTTTTACAGACATGACAAGAGAAAACCCAGGAGAGAGCAGGTTGTATTTGATTTACCTGAGCAATTCCAACTTTTCTCTCCCAAGTGTGAATGCTCTGCTGCAGCTTCTTGTGTTTGTCCTTCACATGCATGTACTCAACGATATCAGGAGCCTGATAATCTGTCATCTGGCGGCGCAGGTGTTTGTTGAGAGCCTCTGCCTTTATACGCTCCTAGAGAGAGAGATTTAAGTAGAAGGGATTAAATTACTCTGCCACTCATTGGTAACCAGTGGACAAAAACATGTATAAAGTCCTTAAAGTCTGAGTCATTCTTGGACCACTGACAAACCTCCTCAGCATGCTGTATCTCCTCCTCAATTTTTGTCAGCATCTGCTTTCTGTTGCTGATGTCATTGCTCAGCTCTGTGGACTCTGATGTCACTCTCCGCAGCTTCTCCTGTCGACACGCACATATAGGTTTGACAAGCTGGAGCGAAGTTCAATGTGATAAGCTAAACTACAAAGGTGGTTTCACATATCTACAGGAAATTGCACTGAGAAAAAATTATCTCTCTCCGTCTCTCCCCCACACACATATTTCTGATAAGCTACCTTGTGTGAACTGAGGACGTGTTGCACTTTCAGATTTCTGACTTGAATTTCCTCCAGGTTTTGATCAGTTCTCTCCTTGCTGTATTCCTGGAAAATTTCCTAAAAAAAAGACACAGCATCATACATTGTTACATTTTCCTTTGCTTGCACAATCGTCTAACTCGCATGCTACGCAGCACGTCGCTCTTTCCAGCTTTCTTAGCCTCTCTGGATATACACACGCTTTCATTCTCTACCTCATATTCTGCTTTTCCCGTCTCTTTTTTCTGTTGAAGCTGCTGCTGGAGCTTCTTCTCGTGGACCTTCAGTGCCTGGTTCTTCAGATTGTACTTCTCCAGCTGGGTGGCCTGGTTTCAGTTTGTGTGTGTGATTGTGAACAGGACAAAGGGAGGATGGTGATGAGTACATCAGTGCACAGAGTAAAAGCAATAATCACTCAACGTCTCAGCCCCGTGTCATTCCCATTTAAAAGGGATATGACTATTATGTTATTTTACCCCACCAGACTTTTTCCTGTGAATGAAAACAGTCAGAAAAAGCAGCATGTTAGTATCAATGACGTCCCCTCAGTGCAGATCAGAATCTAGTTCTAACGAAAGGTTTGACTGTGGAATAATAATCATGCTAAGATTGGATTTTAAGGAACTTACAATAATGCGATATGTTGACCGACTAAAATCAGAAAGGTCAAGTTATTATATTAAAGGTCCAGTGTGTTCACCCATAAGAAACTACAGTGGCCGCAAAACGCGCACAAAGCGTGAATGCCTATCCATTGTAGTGTTTGTTTTGTCCCTTCTGGGCTACTGTAGAAACATGGTAGTTCACTATGACGGCCTCGACTTATTCTAAAGTAACAAAAACATAATTATTCCTATACGCCGCTGATTACAGACTGATTTCTGCCAATATACTCTCCTATATGTTACATACTGGACCTTTCACATTACAACTCATACTTGGGGAAAACTGTTTGAAAACTTAAGAGTCTTGCGCATTTAATTCAACTTTAAAGCTGCAAACATAAAGCCATCTTTTTGTAAGTTCAGCTAAAATGAGTAATCCAGTTGCATTTCATTGTGCAATTCTGTATTTTATAAACAACAATAAAGCTGAACCATGAACGTTTAATCTATTCAGATGCTACTTTGCCTAGTTTGATGTCTTTTTACCTTTGACTTATCTTCAGTGTACTGGAGCACCTTCTCAGGCTCCTTCATTCCCAACCTGTTGTCCATCATAGGTTTGATCAGTCTGCGTTCAAACTCCTTCTTGGCCTTCCTGATTTCTGCAAGACGCAATTCTGCCTCTTTTAGGGAGGCCTGGAAAGACAAAATATGTTTTTTTTAAGTGTGAATTCATTTCTTTCTCTTTGTTGTTTTTCTGTGGAGGGTGTGTCGTAACCTTGTAGTTATCCTGAATTCTCTCGTATCTCTGTTTGAGCTTCTCCCGGTCTTGTCGTGTCTCTGTTACTTCTCTCTGTACCACATTCAGCTTTTGTTCCAAGGTCAGCTGATGAAGGCGATCCGACAGGTTGGACTGGGACCTCCGCCTCCTTCCACGACCCTGACAACGCACACATGCACACACACACACATAAGATGATTTGGGGGCCATCAGGAGCTCAGTGCAAAGAGCTCATCTGTCTCCAAGACTGTGGCGAAATCTGTCCTCCTTGTGTGAAACCTACAACCACAATAGCTACTGAGTTTTGCACACATATAGGAAGAGTAAAGAAGTCTTGTTACTGGGTGGCACTTACCCCGACCTCCAGCTGGGAGGCTCCTGATGCCCCATCTGCCCCAGCCTGCGACACAAGGTCCTGAGGATCCAAGCGGCCGATAAACCGCTCCAACATGTCGTTCTCTGCCAGGACGGCTGCAGTGGAACATCTTGGATGGGTGGAAGGAAACAAAAACAACTTTAAAATCATTTAGAGAAAAAGCTTTGAAGCTAAAAGTTTGGTTGCTTAAGCTGGAAAGAG